TGCAGACGTATACGTATACATACAGACAGGCATGTATACAAACTGACAGACAGACCAGCGTGCACGCATGCATACTTAAGTGCATGCATGCATGCATAATTACACGTGAATGCATACATACATGCACACATGCATTCATACATACATACATACATACATACATACATGCATGCATGCATGCATGCATACATACATACATACATACATACATACATACACACATTCATATATGGACCCGTACATATATACATACGTGCATGTATTCATACATACACATGCGTACGAGCACACATCTACATACATACATGCAAACATACATACCTATACATACATACATACACACAAACAAACATGCATACATAAATCCATACATACCTGCACAAATATATACGTGCATGCATACATATATGCACAGACATGGACATAGACATAGACGTAGTCATAGGCATAGATATAGGCATAGACAAAGACACATGCATAGACATACATGCACACATCCATGTATGCATGCATGCATACATGCATACATGCATAAATGCATACATGCAGACATGCATGCAAGCATGCATGCATACAGACATGCATGACATGGAGATAGACATAGACGTAGCCATAGGCATAGATACAGACATAGACAAAGACGCATGCATAGACAAATACAAATCCGCCGACCCTTCGAGGCTTCCGCCACAAGAGGCCCCCAGGAGGCCCCGAGAGGCCCCCAACAGAGCCCAATGGGCCCCACAGAGACCCCGCGAGGCCCCCAAACGGCCCAAAAAGAGGCTCCGAGAGGCCCCCCAAACGGCCCCCGAGCGGCCTCAAAACTGCCTCCAAGAGGCCCCCGAGAGGCCTCCCACGATATCCAAACGAACATCCGAGAGGCCTCTAACACACAACCCAGGCACGGTGGCGGGATGGGCCGAAGGTCACTAAATACATATACGCACACATATACATATACAAATACACATACATGTACATATACATATACCTACAGATATACACACATCTGCACAAACATATGTACATACACATGCGCGCGAGTATGACTTCTCGACGCTGACGCTGTTCGCAGAGGCAGGAGCAGGGAACGCGAGGGTTCTGAGGCCCTGCGGGACTCCAGATCTGGCTGAAACCGGCGCGTTCTCCCAAAACTCCGACCGCAGGTGCACGCTACGCGGTGCAGCCTGCATGGTGCAGGCCATGTGGTGCAAGCTTGCTGGTGAAACCTGCGCAGTCAAAGCTGCGTCGTGCGAGGTGTGCGGTGCAGCACACGTGTGTGTGTGTGTGCTGCGCAAGCCACGCGGTGCGCCAGCCATGCGCTGTGAGCCGTGTGGTGGCAGAGGCGTGCCGCACGCCGTGCCGCTGTGCGGTGCAGGCTGTGCGGTGTGAACTGTGCGGCCGCCCGCGGGGCGCCCACGGGGCGCCCGCGACCCGCTGCGGGCGAGCACCGGGCGAGGCCTCGGCACGCCCTCACGACGCACGAAGCGCCCCACGCGCTGGCTCGGGCCGAGCCGTCGACACAGCCGCCCGGCGCACGGCCCCGCCCACGGGGCGGCCACGACCAGCCACCGACTGGGCACCAGGCAGAGCCCCGACGCAGCCATGCAATCACTCAGGAACGCATCTGAGACCCCCTGTGAGAGGACTGCTCGGGGAGCGTAGGCGATTGGGACGACTGCAACGGTTACTCCTCGCAGTCTTGCTGCCGTGCATGCTTCCATTCGCCCTTCGCCCGAGGCCGAAGAAAGCGGTGAGGGAGCCGGCTTAGCCGAAAGAACCCTCGAGAGGCCTATATGGACCGCCGAAGCTCCCCGACGCGGGCTCCCTAGAGCGACAGGGGCCGATCGTAACCACTTGGGGCCGATCGCAACCACTTGGGGCCGATCGCAACCATTTGGGGCGGAGTCCAACCGGTTGCGATCGGGCCGATGTGGTTGAGATGTTTTGGGTTCGCTTGCAATTTTTTGTTGATAAGCAAAGGCTCTCCAAGAGAGCTCTTGGAATGAGTGGGTTGCCTAAGGCTCACCGACGAAATTCTGAAAAAGCCGTTGCGATCGGGCCGATCGCAGACCGCCAGTAGTAGTAGTAGTAGTAGTAGTAGTAGTAGTAGTAGTAGTAGTAGTAGTAGTAGTAGTAGGAGTAGTAGGAGTAGTAGTAATACTCGTCGTAGCCGTACTCGTAGTCGTAGCCGTAGTCGTAGTCGTAGTCGTAGTAGTAGTGGTGGTAGTAGTAGTAGTAGTACTGATAATGGTAGTAGTAGTAGTAGTAGTAGTAGTAGTAGTAGTAGTAGTAGTAGTAGTAGTAGTAGTAGTAGTAGTAGTAGTAGTAGTAGTAGTAGTAGTCGTACTGGTAGTACTAATAGTATTTGTAGGAGTAGTAGTAGTAGTAGTAGTAGTAGTAGTAGTAGTAGTAGTAGTAGTAGTAGTAGTAGTAGTAGTAGTAGTAGTAGTAGTAGTAGTTAGTAGGTAAGAAGTGCAGTAGAAGTGGTAATACTAACAGTAGTAGTAGTAGCAGCAGTAGTAGTAACAGTAGTATTAGAAAAAATAGTAGTAGTAGCAGTAGTAGTAGTTGGTGTAGTAGTAGTAGTAGTAGTAGTAGTAGTTTTAGTAGTAGTAGTAGTAGCAGCAATAGTAATAATAGTAGTGGTAATAATATTGGTGAAAGTGGTAGTTGTAGTGGTAGTAGTAGTAGTAGTAGTAGTAGTAGTAGTAGTAGTAGTAGTAGTAGTAGTAGTAGTAGGAGTAGTAGTAGTAGTAGTAGTAGTAGTAGTAGTAGTAGTAGTAGTAGTAGTAGTAGTAGTAGTAGTAGTAGTAGTAGTAGTAGTAGTAGTAGTAGTGGAAGTAGTGGTAGTAGTGGTACTAGTAGAAGTAGTAGTAGTAGTAGTAGTAGTAGTAGTAGTAGTAGTAGTAGTTGTAGTAGTAGTCGTAGTAGTAGTCGTAGTAGTAGTAATAGTAGTAGTAGTAGTAGTAGTGGTAGTAGTAGTAGTAGTAGTAGTAGTGGTAGTAGTAGTAATGGTGGTCGCTGTCGTAGTTGTGATCGTAGAAGTCAAAGAAGTGGTAGAAGTCGCAGACGTAGTAGTAGTAGTAGTAGTAGTAGTAGTCGTAGAAGTGGTAGTGGTTGTGGTGGTACTACTGTTACTGCTGCTACTCCAGTTACTACTGCTACTACTGTTACAACTGCTACGACTGCTACTACAGTTGCTGCCTCTACTGTTGCCACGGTTACTCCTACTGCTACTAGTTTAACGAATACGAACAATACTAGTACTGTCACTAATGCAGTTACTACTAACACTGCTACTCTCACTAGTACGACTGAAACTACGACGGCGAGTACGACTACTACGAATTATACTGGTAATAATACGAGCACCAGTAACACCACGACCAGGACCACTACCACTAGCACAAGCACGCTCAGTACTACCACCACGACCACGACCGCTACCAGTACCACTAGCGCTTCACAAGCGTTTCAGAGTGTTCAGAAGCGTTTTAGAAGCGTTTGAGAGGCGCTGCAGAAGCTCCAGTAGATCAGAAGAAGCGCTTCCGAAGCGCTTCAGAAACGATTCGGAAGAGCTTCAGAAGCTCATGAGGAGCGCCCCAGAAGCTCCTCAGAAGCTCATGAGAAGCGCCTCAGAAGCTCTCCAGAAGCTCTCCAGAAGCCCTCCAGAAGCTCACGAGAAGCGCTTCAGAAGCCCTTCCAGAAGCTCATGTGAAGCTCTTCAGAGGCACTTGTGAGGCGCTTCAGAAGTGATTGTGAAGCGCTTCAGAGGCGCTTGTGAAGCGCTTCAGAGGCGCTGGTGAAGCGCTTCAGAGGCGCTGGTGAAGCGGTTCAGAGGCTCTGCAGAGGCTCTGCTGAGGCTGTAATCCGATTGTAATCTGGCGTTCGTCTTGTAGAATCAATCAATGTAGGATTCCTTCACGTTGGGATCGGCCCCTGTTCGGTGGTTGGAATCCGCCCCAAGTGGTTGGGATCAGCCCGAAGTGATTGGGATCGGCCTCGTTCCCGCTCCCTAGAAGGGCTCCTGATTCGAGCCGCTGCTCCCCCTCTCGGCTCTGCCCCCCTCCTCCTCCTCCGCCTCCGCCTCCGCCTCCTCCTCCTCCTCCTCCTCCTCCTCCTCCTCCTCCTCCTCCTCCTCCCAATGTCGCTGCTCGCTCCTTTTCCGAGAGCGGGCGACGCACTTCACACTAACCCCACGTGTGGTCCCAAAGCTGTCGCGGGCTCACCGATGACATGGCGACTCGCGGGTCCGGCGACCGGAGGGAACGGAAGAGCCGGTGGGCGCCGCAGTCATAAACGAGGCGAGTCGGCGGCGCTCCCTCGGTTCGAATTCACTGGTCTAGGACAGGGCTGAACCTAAACGGTGTTTCTTCTTTTCGTTGTGCTTTTCGCTCTTTCTCGTTTTGCCTTCGCTTCGCCTCGAATGCAAAACAAAACAACAAACAAAAAAGGCCCACGAGATAGCAAAAACACAGTTCAGGTCCGGCAGTCCACATCTGGCTGCGCAGCGGCCTGGCAAGGCAGCCCAAAACCAAAGCTCGCCCAGGAGCACGTGCAAGTGCCAGGCCAGCGCGTCGCCCGTGGGGCGCCGCGGGGTGGCCAGGGCACCCCCAAAATCACCCGCGCGGCGCCTCCGCGGCCGACCTCGCCGCACCCGGCGCAACCCCGCTGGACTCGGCGACAGGGCCCTCAATCCAGCACGCCACAAGGGAGGAGGAGGAGGAGGAGGAGGAGGAGGAGGAGGAGGAGGAGGAGGACGCGGAGGAGGAGGAGGAGGAGGAGGAGGAGAGGAGGAGGAGGAGGAGGAGGAGGAGGAGGAGGAGGAGGAGGAGGAGGAGGAGGGGGGGGAGGAGGAGGAGGAGGAGGAGGAGGAGGAGGAGGAGGAGGAGGAGGAGCGAGGAGGAGGAGGAGCGAGGAGGCGCCGCCGAGGGCGCTCCAGCGCAGATCCAAGAAGTCCGCGCGGAACGCCACAGCTTCATTTTCGAAGGATACCCCTAGCAGGCGGGCAGCGGCGTGGCGCCGGTGAGGAAGCAGCCCCGCGGGCGCCGCCTGGGCCGCGCCCCTCCGAGCAGCCCGGCGCCCGCAGCGTCGCCGTCGTCTTCGAGGGGCCACCGAGAGGGCGCGCCAGCCTTCGGGGGTCCCAGAGTTCGGCGGCGAACCCCAGAAACTGGAACGCGAGCGACGGTCATAAAGCGGCTCTTGCGTGAGATGACGTGGCGACCTCGCGCGGTGGCTTGCCGCTGGCGCGGCAGGCCGCACTGGAAGCGAGGGCACTGACGGGCGACCTTGCGCGGGCAGCTTACGCGCCAATGAAGGCGCAGACGACGCCATTCTCTTCCAGCGCTGAAGTGTTCTGTAGCCGAACACGTGACAGAGAAAACCATCACTTCAGAAATCTGGGCCAACTTCACGGAAGCTCCTTGAAAGAAGCCTGCGTAAACTTCTGTTGTTTACGCTGGGGGGGGCGAATTTGCTCGAAACTGGGCCTGCTTTCCAGCAGGCCGCTTAAGAAACGCTTGCCCAGCTTTTCGGGAGGGGGGTTTTGCATCAGATGCTCGATTCGAAGTCTCCGGGGATGCTTTAGGAAACTTCTCAGAAAGCCCGAGGCCTCCCGAGCATTCTGAGAAGGCCCGCCCTCTCTCACTCCCCCCTGGGCTCGCAGCCGAAAAACCGTGTGCTCACGGACCGCGTGGTGCACGGATTCCCCCGGGGCCGTAGGCGACACGTGAAGGAGGAGAGGAGGAGGAGGGAGGAGGAGGAGGAGGTGAGGAAGGGAGGGAGGAGGAGGAGGAGGAGGAGGAGGAGGAGGAGGAGGAGGAGGAGGAGGAGGAGGAGAGGGAGAAGGAGGAGGAGGAGGAGGAGGAGGAGAACGAGGAAGAGGAGGAGGAGGAGGAGGAAAAGGAGGAGAGAGGAGGACGGGTCGCCTAAGCCCTTCGGAGAAGCCGTCCACCGCGCGGTGACCTCGAAACCCCCAGAGACCTCAGCGCGCGGCCCGTCCCCACACGGCCTCGGGACCTCGGAGGCCCCGGCCGCCCGAGACGCCCTCGGAGAGAACGACCCGATTGCCAGAACCATGCGGTGGCCCCGGGCCGTAGCTGAGCATTCTCTTAGGGTGGAGGGCTCAGAGTGAAATCCATATGGTTTTTTGCACCTCGCAAACCAATCCGTCTTGTGATTGACCTTTTTGCAAATCAAGCCTCGAACATCCATCGAAACGACATTCCAGAGTTCACCCTTTGAGAAGAAGAAGAAGAAGAAAAAAAACAACAAAAAAAAAAAAAATGCCAGAAGACGCTCCCAATACTTTAAAAATCATCGGGAAGAGTCCGCCGACCCCTTGTGGGTCTTTAGGCGCGTGAGATTCTTCCGCCCCCATAATTCCCCCCACGACACCCCAAACCAGCAATTCGACCCCCCCCCCCGGGGCCCCGCCGGACCCCGGACCGAACGCGTCACAGGGCCCCAAAACTCGCCAAAAAGGCACCAAAACTCTCCAAAAGGTACCAAAACGCTCCCCGGACGGTCCCCGAAACCACGATTCGCCGACATAGCGCCCCCAGTCGCCCACGATGGCCTCCAGGCGGTCTCCGAAGCTGCCAAGACGCCCCCAAAAGGCCCTTAAGATGCGCCCCGAGAAGGTCGCAAGAAACAAAAATCGGCCCATTTCCTCCGAAAAACCACTCGTTTCTCAGCATGCTCGCCTACTCGGCAATCACAACGTCCACAGCAGGCAACAAACCTTCAACATCGCTCCCAGACGGCCAGGGGGGCCCCAAAGCAAGGTCGCTGAAGGTCCAACAACAGCCCACGAAGCCCCCAAGACAGCCCAAGAGGGCCCCCAGACGGCACCTTTTCGAGCCTTCGGCTCCAAAACGCTCCCAGCCTGCTCCAAGAACACCCCAAAAGGGCCTGCGGGACCTCCCAGAAAACCTCCGAGGCCTCCCAGAAGCTACGAGGAAGCCCCCAGGAGGCCCCAAAACTACCTGCAAGACGAACCCGTCAGGCCTCGCACGAGATCTTCTTCACCATCCGTGTGGCCGCCTACCTGTCTACCGTGCAAGGTGGCGGGATGCGCCGCGTCCCATTCGACAGCGATTCGTCCAGTTTTTGGACCGCCGCATGCCGTCTATGGGCGCGGGTGGTGACAGGCATTTTCCCCAAATCGTCACTCCTCCTTCTCCTCCTCCTCCTCCTCCTCCTCCTCCTCCTCCTCCGATGACCCTCCTCCGCCTCTCCCCCATCCTCCCCCCCTCCTCCTCCTACTCCTCCTCCTCCTCCTCCTCCTCCTCCTCCTCCTCCTCCTCCTCCTCCTCCTCCTCCTCCTCCTCCTCCTCCTCCTCCTCCTCCTCCTCCGCCTCCTCCGTTTTCTCCTGTTTGGTATCATGTCACCATTTCCACGTCTCATCATCAACACCATCACCACCAGCATCATCATCGCCATCACCCGCACCATGACCACCGCCATCACCATCACCACCACCACGGATCACCATCACCACCGCCACGGATCACTGCCTTGTCGCGTGTCTGGACACATGTGATGCAGCCCGCATCCGCCAACCCCATTCGGGGCCTCCAGGCGTGCAAGATTCATCCCGCGAACGGCCCCACATGCCCCCGGACTCGCTCGGGGATGGCCCCGAAGAGCCTCGAGCTCGCCCACCAAAACAAACAAGACAACACAAATACGCCCCAGGACAGCAACACGACATCACCGAGACGATCAAGGGGTCGGCGGATGTGGCGTAAGCCTATAGAATCGTCCGCGGTATTTTTTCCCCCTGGGCGAACTGCGGCGCAGCGCCAGCCAGGTGGAAGTTGGTCACGGCGGCGCCCATGATTAGAGCCAGCGCTGGAAGGGATGATGGGGAGAGAGTATGAATAGGAGGGGGGGAAAGGCCCCAAAGAAGTCCCCAAGAGGCCCAAAGAAGCTCCCACGAGGCTTCCAGGAGGCCCCCAGGAGGCCCCCAAGAGGCCCCGCGACGACGCGACTGCACGTGCTCCGGACGTGCACCCCGCGAAGCGAGAGGAATCGTCCGCGGACTGCTTCTTGACCGTTCTCGCATGTTCCTCCTGCACAGGGACGCGCCCGACGGAGCCCGAATCTCCACGGACTTCCTGCGCCGCGCGGTCGCCGCACCGCTTGGGGGGGGCATCCGACGGCCTGCAGCGCCAGGAACGCCTCGCGCTCCTCGGGGCTCAGCGCTGCGCCGAGGCCCTGCTGCTCGGCGCGACGCCTCGCGCCCGCCTCCGCCCGCCTGCGCTTCGCGAGGCGCCCCTCCTCCCGCTGCCTCTCGCGAGCGTCGGGTCGGGCACGTCCCGCTACGGGCGAATGTTGGAAGAAAAATGCAAAGTAGGCAAAACAATAATCCAAAATAGTCACGCAACAAAACAATAGATCTATATACGTGTACATATATATACATATATATACATACATACATACATACATACATACATACATACATACATACATACGTACATACATACATACATACATACATACATACATACATACATACATACATACATATATATACATACATACATATATATATATATATATATATATGTATATATATATATATATATATGAATCCACCGGCCACCTTGTGGGGCCACCAGGCTCCAGGGCGGAGGTTCGCAGTTTCCTGTACCAGTTGCAGCTTCCAGTTTCCACTGTTACAGTTCAGCTTCCTGCTGCTGACTGTTCCTTGTTGATGGACCGCGCGAAGGGGGAGGCCCAAACGGGCAGGTTTAGCACGCCCTGAGCGTATGCTCTGAATTGCTGGGGTGGGTAAAAATTAACACCCCTCACGCAGATCGGCGGGGTCAGGGTCCAAAAACACAGGGAATGTTCAACATGTCTAAAATTCGGTGGCACCCCTCACGCAGATCGGCGGGGTCAGAGCCCAAAAACACATAGGATTTGCAACATGTCTAAAATTCCGCTGGCACACCTCACGCAGATCGGCGGGGTCGGGGTCCAAAAAAACACATGGGATTTTCAACATTCCTGAAATTCGGTGGCACCCCTCACGCAGATCGGCGAGGTCAGGGTCCAAAAACACATGTGATTCGCCACATTTCTGAAATTCGCTGACACTCCTCACGAAGATCGGCGGGGTCGGGGTCCAAAAACACAAAGGATTTGCCACATTTTTGAAATTCGGTGGCACCCCTCATGCAGATCGGCGGGGTCAGGGTCCAAAAACACATAGGATTTACCACATTTCTGAAATCCGGTGGCACCCCTCACTCAAATCGGCGGGGTCAGGGTCCGAAAACCCATAGGATTTGCAACATTTCTGAAATTCGGTGGCACCCCTCACGCGGATCGACAGGGTCAGGGTCCAAAAACACATAGGATTTGCCACATGTTTCAAAATTCGGTGGCACCCTTCACGCAAATCGGCGGGGTCAGGGTCCAAAAACACACTGGATTTGCAACATTCCTGAAATTCGGTGGCACCCCCTCACGCAGATCGGCGGGGTCAGGCTCGAAAAACAAACAGGTCCCTACACTGCTTCACGGCGGCGCCCAGGCCTCATGATTTAGTTGTTGCATCTCCCATTATCGGAGACAGGGGGCCGGCGACATGGGGCGAAGCCCTTACGGATATATTATGAATACGCTCAACAAAAAACTGTGTACTGAATATATATATATATATATATACATATACATATACATATCTATATATATATATATACACATATACATACACACAAAAATCGTCACCAGACTATGTTTCACCATTTTCGAACATTCCTCCTGTAGAAGGACACGCCCGACTTAACACCACGAGCGCCGAACGCATCCGTACCCACGCCCTCGCGGTCTGCATCTGGGGGCGCGCTCCCGTGGATACGCTGTCGCACGGATACGCCCCGTGCGAGGCACCCGCGGAGAAGCGCTCCGATCCTATCCACGGGACCGCGGCCCAGAGGCCCCGTCCCCGCGAGGCCGCGGACACGCGGACACGTCTTCCGCCCACGAGCCTCTTCCGCCGGTGGAGCAGCCACTCGCGCTCCTGCTGGCGGCGCCGCCTGTCGAGCTCCGACTCCGGAGCCCCCCCGAGCCCGCCCTCGAGGCCGCCGCCGGCGAGAGCGCCCGCGGCGCCAGGGTCCACGCTGCCCTCCGACTCGGCCGCGGCCCCGCGCTGCAGGCCGCGCTGGGCCCTGCTCGGCCGGGCCCCTGCAGCCCAGCGCTCCGCAGAGGAGCCCTCCCGGCCGGGCGCGCCGCCGCCGAGCCACGGCAGCCGGGCCTCCGGCGCAGGCGGCTCCGCAGGGGCGGCAGCCGGAGGGGCACCCCGCGGCACGGAGGGCGGCGCGGTCGGGGAGGGCTCGAGCGGGTCGGCGGCGCCCCGGGGCACGAAGGGCACGGTCGGGCTGATCCGAAGGCGGTCGCCGCACTCCGCGGCGGGGACCTCCTGGGGCACGAAGGGCGCGGTCGGGGAGATCTCGAGGGGCGGCAGGGACAGGGCGGCGGCATCCACGGGCGAGAGCGGCGCCGTGGGGCTGATCTCGCAGTCCATCCTGGCGACGGCAGGCAGAGCATGCGCCGCGAACGGCACAGTAGGATTGATCTCTGCCCACTGACTGCGAGAGTGCTCTCGTATGGCCGCAGCCCCCCACATGGCGGTTGGGCTCACCTCGTCGGCCGGCGGCTGGGTCTCGGCCCCGTCGGGGCAGGCGGCGAAGCCCAGGCTGGCGTGCGGCCCTTCGCCGTCGGGGTGGCTGCCTCCGAGCAGATCATGGAGCTGGACCTCCACCTTGGGCGGCTCAGGTCCCAGCGTCACGCCGGGACCGCCTGCCCCCAGCTCTGGCAACTCCTCTCGCGGAGGCGCGGCCTCCCTGGCGCTGGGCGCGGCCGCGTCGGGCGCACGAGCAGACGGCGCAGCGCTGCGTGCGACCTCCTGGGGGGCTGGCGCGGCCAACGCGGCCCGTGCCGCTTCCCTGACGCTGGGCGCGGCCTCCCTGGGCGACAGTGCGGCTTGCACAGCGTCGGGTAATGCTTCCTCACACGCCTGCACGGCGTCTGCAGCCTCAGGCGCTCCCGCGGCCAGCGTTCCAGTGGGCGTGCCCTCCACCCGCGCCTGAACGGCAGGCGCGGCTGCCCGGGTGCTTGCCGCAGGCTCCTCCGAAGGCTCGTCAGCCTGGACTGGCGGCACTGGTGGCGCCGGCGCCTTCGGCTGCAGGCACTCTGATCCTGATGCGCGGGCAGCAGCCTCGGCAGCGACGTTCAGGTTCTGTGAGCTGGACGACCGCATGGGCAGGCCCGTCGACAGGTTCTTGGCCTGGTGGAAGGACACGGAGCGACGCATGACGTCCCTGAAGAGGTCGCGCTTCGAGTCGCCCTTGGTGGCCGTCTGGTCTGCGACGACGTCCAGCCCACCGTCGTCCTGATCATCGAACGCCGTATCCTCCCAGTCGAACGAGAGCTTGGGTGCAGTCAGAAAGCTGCGAGCCTTGTCTAGGTCCATGTCGTGGCTAGCCTTTGTATGGATCTCAGCCTGGCGCACCGCGATTTGGGACCCGAGATCCCGCCTGAGGCTACTTGTGTTCCGCATGGAGGCGCCCTGGCGCTCCGGGAATTTGACATCCAGGAAGCTCGGCCCATCCTGTACGGCTGCGTCCGCGTTCTGCTCGGCTCCAGAGTCGTCGGCCAGGTTCGCTTCCAGCTCGAGGGAATAGTGGCCGCTTTTCTGTACCCTCTCCAGCCTCCGGAGCGCAATGCGGCCTCTCTTCAGTTCGAGGTCGTTGATGAGACGCTCCTCTCGCGCCACCCTCACAAGCCACCTCAAGTGTTTTCGGGCGTCTGCGCCGACACCGGCATCCGCGATAGACTCGCCCTTGAGGCGCCGCTTGCGAGCCCGCAGGACCTCGGAGTATGTGCCAAGGAGGAAGTGCAGGTTGACCTTGCCCTCGTCGTCGCAGAGAAGCTTGCCGCCCTCATGCACGCCGCGGTCGCCCAGGAAGCACTCCACGTCGAGCTTGCGGATCGCGCGGGGGTCGCACACCTTGATCGAGAAGGCCGTCCTGATGCCACCGGCTTCAGGGTCGGCTCTCTTAGCCAATCTCTCCCTCCACGCCCGCACCTCCTCCTCGTCTGGCTCCGCCTCCGAGCCCGACTCGTCGTCCGCTCCGCCCCTTGCCCTGCCGCCGCCCTTGCCTCCGGCCGCCCCACGGAGGTGGAACCGCACGGCGTCGCCCGTCCGCTTCTCGGGCTCCTTTGAAGGGGCCCTGGAACACACAAATAGATACACGCAGATACAAGGATTCCCCACATTCTCCCACATTTTCTGGGTGTTTGTCTTCCCCCCCCCCACTTCCCATATTTTCCTAAATTTTCCTGGGGGTCGACGATGAATTGTGTCTGTGTGTTTTTGTTCCCTCCTGCTCCTTCTCCGGCGTGCCGCCGTCCAAGACGCGGGTGCGCGCCGGCCTCGCCCTGCGCCTGGCGGCTCCCCTCCCGCGGCGCTGCCCGCGCCGCCCGCCGCGCCCGTGCCGACGGCCCGCTGCAGCTGGGCCCCGAAGCTCTCCTGGGCCAGCGTTACGTCGGGCGTGTCCCCCTACAGGGGCATTTTGGGCGAGAAATCAAAAGTATTTTAAAAAATACCCCCCAGATGCAAATGGTAAATAAAAAAAAAAAAAAAAAAAAACATCCCCTGACTATTTTTTTAACTCTGTTTGAAGATTCCCCCTGCAGAGGGACACGCCCGACTGAAGGCCAGCGCCTTCCCGCGCTGGCACCGGCGCTCCTCCCGCAGGCCCTCGCGGGCGCCCCCCCCCCGGCAGGAGAGCTCTGCGGCGGCCGGCGCCTCCTCTTCCGCCCTGCGCTTCCGGGAGCGGCCCTGGTCCACGCCGTCCGCCTTGGCCCGTGGACGGGCGGCCACACCCTCCTCCTCCGCCTCCTCCTCCTCCTCCTCCTCCTCCTCCTCCTCCTCCTCCTCCCCCTCCTGGTCGTCGTCGATGCGTTTCAGGGTCGGCGGCACCGGCCATCAGAGCTCGTCGGCGGCGAGTGGAACGCCGACTGGCCTTGGAGGAGCGCCACTGCCCCGAGCCATCTATCCGAACTGTCCAACTGGCCCTCCCGAGTACCCAGCGACAGGCGCCCTGACACGAGACCGGGGGCTGGCACCAGAGCAAAGCACCCTCGCCAGAGCGGTCGCACAAGGTGGCCCCCGAGACCCCCAGCATACCCCCCCAAGAGCCTCCCAGGCGGCCCCCGGAGGTCCCCAAGACGACCCAGCAGGGCCGCGCTCGAGCACGGCACTGGGCTCCCCAAGTGGACGCACTGCGCCAAGACGGTTCTCAAAGGGTCGGCCGAAGAGGCTCCCAAAGGGCCGGCCGCGCGGTGTGAGCCATCGAATCACGTTCTGCCTGCCACATGTTCTTTCTTGCCCCGCTCGTGGCTCGCTCTGCCTGCCACGCGGGCACGGCCCAGCACTGGCACACCTCGGCGCGTGGCGACCACCAAGGCGACCTGTGGCGGCCACGGGTGCAACCTTCTACGGCGATGGATGAGGATGGCCGACCGGCCCCTGGAGAAACCAACAGATACCGATACCGCTACTCCCTGGACCTCTTCTGGGGTGCGCAGCGACCGGGATTCCGACACGGATCCAGCCGTGGCGACGAGGGCCCCCCAGGAGGCCCCCCAAAAAGCGGAAAAAGACGAGGCAGGGATAGCGGCATCGGGCATCGGCACCTCGTCCTCCTCCGAGCCGCGGGCCTTGCCCCTCTTCGGCCGCTTCTCCGCCCTGGGCTTCGACGGCCTGGCGTGCACAACGAAGTCCGCACCCCCGCCCGCGGCAGCAGCCTCCGCGCCGGAGGCCTCCGAGGCCGTCCGCGGGCGCGCCCTCGGCACGGGAGGCTCGTCCCCGCTGCTGAGGCCTCCGTCCAGCGCCCCCTGCAGCGCGGCCTCGAAGCTGAAGCGCTGGCGCTGGTGGCGGCGCCCCCCGCCGCGCCCCAGCCGCTGGAAGCGAGGCCTGCAGAGCGACGGGGCCTGTATACGGGTACTCCTCCTCCTCCTCCTCCTCCTCCTCCTCCTCCTCCCCTCCTCCTCCTCTCCTCACTCCTCCTCCTCCTCCTACTCCCATCTCATCTCCTCCTCCTCCTCCTCTCCCTCCCTCCTCCTCATCCTCCTCCTCTCCTCCACTCCGTCATCGTCATCAGAGAATCATCATCATCATCATTTCATCATCATCATCATCATCATCATCATCATCATCATCATCATCATCATCATCATCATCATCATCATCACATCATCATCATCATCATCAGCGCAGCAGCAGCCAAGCATCTCATC